AAATAATATCACACAAATAGAAAATCATCACCAAAATCATTATTTACCTCTTAAAATTAATTTATTTAAAATTTAAAAGACTATTTTATAAATAAAAAAAGTTCAACTCCAAAATGGAGTGGAAAATGAGATTAATATATATTTGGAAAAAAATAGAATTACTCCATTTTGGAGTTGAAAATAGAGTGGGGTTGGAGAGGATTTTACTCTAAAATGGAGTTTGGAGTAAGATATAGAGTGAGGTTGGAAATGCCCTAAGCCATTCGGATCATCGAAACAACTTGAAAGCGTGGTTAAAGCGATGACATATTGATTGAAAAAAGTAGTCCTGGGCCAAGATGAAAATGGAGATGGGCCAAAAACCACATCAATGGGCCGAGATGGGATGTAAGTTAGGCTAAAAGACTGTCAACAAAAATGTGGCCTAAGCCCACAAAGGGAGGCCACTTGGAAGATTAGGTCTAAGTAGCTAGTCGTCACGTTCTTCACCGGCGGTGATGACGGGAGACACGAACTCCATGGCATCGAGAATTCCCCAAACCAAAACTCAGAATGTTTTGAGATGATACCTTGAGAAACCAACATAATAGGACGAGGAGTTACAAGAAGTGTCGTCGACAATGACCGGTGAGAAAGTTCTTCGGGAACACCCTAGAGGGTTCTAGATCCATTGGATAGTGAGAGATAGTGAGAGAAATCTCAGATTTGGAAGCGCACTTGGATTCAAAGGATTCCACTTCTGTCGACTTCAAAATCAACGTTATGAACAAAGTGTAAGGTAGAAGGAGATTCGCCAGAAACTGCCTTTTTTCTCTGTCGTAGATCTCGGAAACGCCATTACAAGAAGACAACAAGAATGAGAGATATAAATCTATGAGAGGTGAAAGATAACGGATCTAAAAAAGAAGGATCTTGCAAAGGAGACTAGGAGAAAGTGAAAACAAGAACGAAACATCCCGACGCCAGCGAGTAACGGCTCCGCCGGCGTCGGAAAACAATGACAAAATTGTTGCCTCGAAAATGGTGTATGAGAGAGTTTCACGACGCTCCTTTCACTAAGTTATTTGAAAATATAACAAATGTATTTTTAGTGTTTTTTTGTTATAAAATTGATATTATCTTTTGATACA